TAGCCTTAAAGCTTTTTTTAAGTAGTGAACACATTAAAATCGATTACTCAACATTAGGACATAGTCAATAGGCGGAACAATACATTTAATTGGGCGTTGACCTAGCTTTAATAACTGTATATATGTGTGGGCAGGTCAGAGTTCGCCAGCTAATAAGTTCACACAGAAGATAGAATAGGCTGGGAAAGGTTTAAAAGCTCTAAAAACTGCAGGGAGTGATGAGCGGACTAAGGGATAATAAGTTCTTGTTATTTGGAGAAAACATGAAATAGGCATATAAACATCGAGTAGAAATGATTGTTCAATCAACTGTTCTCGTAGATTTTTAATAACAAACCTGTTTCCGAACAAGATAAATGCGAATTACTTCATCCAAAATAAGATCAAATGGAATATTTTAGTCTGATTCATCTAAGATAGAGCTATACGAATGATGTCTGTAAAGCAAAGATCTGATATAATTTCAGCAATTAACCTAACCGAATCTAGGAAAATTCTCGTTGATCATGCTTTCGCGCTTTGACAACGCCTATCTAATGACAGACAAAAGCTTAGCACGGATTGATCACGGTTGCGGGACGGTGCATCGAGGAATTACTCACAAAAATCTACATTCTTAACTCCAAGGCAGCTGAGGCCAATTCACGAATCACCTCGACTCGCTGTTTTGGTCTAAAGAAAGATCGCTTCACTTCATAAATACCCTGGAGTCTGGATAACTCCTATAGAAAGTCAAGTTACGTTGAAGCGTAAGCAAAACTGCCTGGTAAAATTATGCGCTGCACTATCCAGGTTCGGTTCCCGTTGGGTATGCTAATGAGAGCCAAGTGAGGTTGAAACTGCAGTCCGTCTTGGATGAAAATACCTTTGCGGAAGCAATGCTAGGTGAAATTCTTCAGCGTCGTGAGGCATACTTACACTATTTTTAAAAGATTCACTACTAGTCCTTCATCACCTTTAGCGACCAAGGGTGACAAAAGCTCATATTAAAAAGCTCGCGATCCTACTCAAATCAAGTTTAATGTATTAAGTATCTAATTCTCTATAAGTATGATTTGCTGCCTAAAACTACTTCTCTTTGTTTTAGAGGTTAAGTTTACGGATTATTTACAGATATTATATATAGAGAGAGCTGAGGAATTGAAGAGTAAGCACACCTATCCTACTGGGCACCACAATTATCATACTACACATTTAGCAAAGCGAGATATTTTATCAGATTGATGTTGTTTTAATGTCATAGTTACAAAACGCAATAGTTACATAGTTCCCATATTTCCACTAAAACTTTTTATTCAAGATTAGGCAAATAGAAGACATATGAAGAATACATCGTTTCGCATAGTCTCCTACCAATTCATTGTGATTCGACTTCTCATTTAGAAATAATAGTTGTTTGGAAGAAATTCGTGGATTGGCCCCACCTCAAACCGGAGGAGGATTGACTTGGACTTAAGACTGTTTGATTGTTCTAAAAGGTCCTTGACTCACCGTCCTGTGACCTCGATGAACTGCTCAGCTTTCGTTTGCCATCTGGCAGACATGGTTGGACCAGCAACATATTTTTTTTCGAAAAGTCACACCAGTATACTAAACCAAGAGATATGCCGACCGATTTCAAACATATTTACTTCTTATGCCTAATTTCGCGATCGTAATGTTTTGGTTGTTACTTCATTGCTAATCTACATGTTTGAGGATTGATGAAGTTGATTCATGGAAGGAAAGTCATTGTGGCCACAGCTGTTTCTTTACATAAATAAGCCAGCGTACGATTACATAATTTCGACATATTGTGTATTACATCTGTACAGTGCTCAGGTTATGTGAGGAATGCTAGATCTAAGCATATTCGAGGCTATTCAAACCTCATTTTTATCTGCGGTTCCCTCTGCTCATCTTTTCTCTCTCCTCTCGAATCTATCCAACGGCAAAACAATACTTCCCGTTCAATTTTCCATTCGTAGCACCATATTACAACTCGTCAAAGAGACAAGTGAAGCCGATTCTTTCACCAAACGTGTGCTAAACATTTGTGCTATCGCCCCTTCTGCCTTGGGCTATTCACATTTCCTATATCCTCCTATCACGCCTTCACTGTTACAATTTTTACTGTCCTTATTGAGATGGAGTGTGGTGCGCTACTTTGAGCGGTAGTCATGACACCCTTCAAACTCCACGCTGTCGTCATCAGCCCCTTCATTCTTGTCCTGGGAATGTTGATCAGAGTCTGCCATATTGTTACGCAGTCTTCCAACCCCAGATATTATCACAGTCTCTCTCTTGCCCTATAAGATCTGTCTGCTCTCTTCCTGGTTCACGTATTTCACTCGACCCCTGCCACCCCATCTGTGCTACCGAAGGCGTTATTCGCCATCCCCTGCGTCTGGGTGACCAATTCAAGGCTCAAGCCTCTGAGTAAGTCTCATCGTCAAGCCTTTGCTACATGGACCACGTATCTGGTAAGACCTACTGTCAGCCAACTTGCTCTAGTCTCCGCCACGTCTATCCTGTTTCTATCCGTAATACCAAGTCTATGACTTCCTATGATTTAGTCTCTTGTGTGCTAACCCACAAATGTTGTGGTACTGCTTGCTTTGATTAGGTTCAATGTTGAACCACAACGTTTGAGGGTTGGCACACAAGAGACTAGGGCATAGGAAGTCATAGATATGTTACTATAGGTAGAAAGAGGATAGAAGCAGTGGAAGCTAGAGCTAGTTGGCTAACAATAGTCGTGATTCAAGGATCACGTGTATGATCAAACACATCTATTGTTAGCCAAATAGCTTTAGTCTCAACTGCATCCTT